TTATGGATTGATGTTCAATTCTCTTCAGAGCTGAAATCACAAGAAGAGAGAATTCTGCACCCTGCGAATACTCTCTTGCCGCCTCCTTACTGCCGCCGCCATTACTTTCAGTTCGATCTCCAGTTATTGGGAGAAATCAAGATCTGATCTTGATACCAATCTTTTGGGAAAAGATTGATTGGATCTGTACTCACAAGCCATCTAGTTGATTCTTGCGAAGGGTCAAGTTCTTTTGGAAGAACGTTGCTGATTCTGCTCCATCCTGCATTGCACCATTTTCAGTGGGATCAGACTTTGGATCCTTCCTTGGGCGTGAACACCTCCATTGGGAGATACTGTTTCTCCGTATCAGGTATATCCTCCCTCCTACTCCTTTTGGTTCAGATCTGGTTTGGTTCATGGTTCAAGATTGATTCTTGAAAAATATGTTTTTCTAAAATAGGGAATTCGATTCCCTGCAAAGATGGGAGAAATTTTTGAAATTCGCCCAGCCCATTCCGTAAGACTTGGGCGTCCATACGATGGATATCCCATCCCTTCACTACAGTCCCTTTTTATTTAATACATAGTGATGTCTGGTCTCCAGTTGTCTCACGGTTGGGATATAAGTACTTTGTAACCTTTATTGATGACTGCACCCGTTTCACTTGGGTTTATTTTCTTCGAAAGAAATTTGATCTGTACACAGTATTTAAACACTTATATACCTATGTTACTGCCCAATTTGATGCTCGGATATGTGTGCTACGATCGGATTCAAGGGGAGAGTATCTTGGAGACTTCCAAATTTATTTAAAGCAACATGGAATTCAATTCCAAAAAATCTTGTCCAGGCACCTCACAACAGAATGGGGTAGTAGAAAGGAAGAATGGACATATCTTGAGTGTAGTCAGAACACTTCTACAGGATTCCCATATACCCTCTTGGTTTTGGGTGGAGGTGGCCAACACTGTTGTGTATCTCATAAATCGTCTTTCGTCATTTGTTTTGAATAATTCTTCTCATTTTCAATCTCTCTTTAACAAACCCCCAGATCTATCTATGCTCAGGGTTTTTGGTTGTGTTTGTTTTGTTCACCTTCCACCTCATGAATGCACAAAGTTAACTACACAAGTAGCTTTGTGTGCCTTTATGGGGTACAATTCTGAATATAAAGGATTCCTTTGCTATGATCCTTCGGTCTGTCGTATTAGAAGCTCTCGTAATATAGTTTTTCTTGAGAGTGTGTCCATTTTTGAACATATTGTAAAATTCCCAGCTCCTTCCATTTCCTTGTTGTACAGTTTTGAATCTACTGGTACCTCAGATATACCATTGTCACCTCCACAACTTTAGACCTACTTCAAGAAGCAATGGTCTTCTTTAGTCTCAACGCCCCCTCTGCTCCACCACTAGTTGCTGATCTAGTCACTCCAACTGCCTCAGTAAGTGCACCTGATCTTCCCCTTGAACCCACTACACCCAATTTATGCCGTTCCTCTAGAATTTCTCGCCCACCTGACCGTTATGGTTTTTCACTAGACTATAGCTCCTTTTCTGCTGTTTTATCTACCACAGACATTCCCAGATCTTACCAGCAGGTTGTAGCAGAACCACACTGGAAAGATGCCATGGATTTTGAGATTTGAGCCCTCTTTGAAAATGACACCTGGGACTTGGTCAAAGCTCCACCCGAGACATCTCTCGTAGGAAGTCGATGGGTCTACTCTGTAAAACTAAAATTTGATGGAAACTTAGACAAATACAAGGCTAGGTTGGTTGCACAAAGCTTTAAACATGAATATGGGATAGACTATGAGGAGACTTTTGCTCCTATAGCTAAAATGACCACTGTACGACTTCCGATGGCTGTATCTGCAACCAAACAGTGGACAATCCATTAGATGGACGTCAAGAATGCTTTTCTCCATGGGGAGTTGAAGGAGACAATCTATATGAAGCCCACTCCTGGATATTGTACAGACCTGCAGCTTGTTTGTAGTCTGAAGAAGTCACTTTATGGCCTGAAGCAAGCTCCTAGAGCATGGTTTGAGAAGTTCAGATGTGTCATCACTGTTGCTGGCTTTATCTAGAGTTCTTCTGATTATTCTTTATTCACCTTAAGGCGGAAGTAGGGAGTAACGATATTACTTCTTTATGTCAATGATATACTCATTACAGGGGATGATATAGAAGGGATTTCTAAGCTACAACAATTACTCAGTGAGTCCTTTAAGATGAAGGACTTGGGGCTTGAAGTGAGCAGAAATTCTCGAGGCTATTTTGTTAACCAACAAAAGTATGTGGTTGATCTCGTTAAACTAGCAAATCTTAGTGATTCCAAGATTGTGGACACCCCACTAGAACTGAATTTGAAACTCAGCAAAGATGATAGTTCTCTTCTTGAAGACCCTACCCTTTATCGTCAACTAGTGGGCAGTTTAATCTATCTCACCATGACTCGGCCAGATATATCTTATGTAGTTCAGCTGGTGAGCCAGTTCGTGTCTTCTCCAAGACAACCTCATCTATCTGCAGTTCATCGGATCATTGGATATGTGTGAGGCACCCTATCACACGAGATATTTTTCTCCTCCTCATCCCTTATTAACCTTACAACTTATGCGGGTGTTGATTGGGCTGGGTGCTCTGACACCTGACGGTTCACTACTGGCTGGTGTGTTTTCTTAGGCAACTCCCTTATCTCGTGGAAGTGCAAGAAACAACCTACTATATCCAAATCTTCTATTGAAGCTGAATACAGGGCTATGTCTTCCGTGTGTAGTGAGATCATATGGCTCCGGGTTCTTCTACTTGAAATACTTAATGAACCATCACCATATGTTCCTCTCTATGCAGACAATGTTAGTGCAATCAAAATTACTTCCAACCCCATCTTCCATGAGCTCACTAAACACATAGAAGTTGATTGCCACTTCATCCACGATCTCCTTGAGGGTATTATATCTCTTCCTCATGTCTCCTCCGGGCTCCAACTAGCAGACCTGTTGACTAAAGCAATGACTCGGGCTCGGCATCTATTTCTCATGGACAAACTGATGCTTATTCCTAGGCATTAGTTTGAGGGGGAGTGTAGAGACAGTGAGAAGATCTAGCCGTAGGGCTATTTTTGTACTTTTACTCTTCGTTGTTGTACATCTAATTTATGTACTCTCTTTCTTTTGTTCACTAAGGGAAGACTTGTCCTTTTACCTTTTTTTAATATAAATATATCTTTTAGGGTGTTGACTGTTACAAGGTGACACTCCCACCAATCTTTTGTTTCTCTCTTTCTCTCTCTGAACTTTTGACTTGACTCTGACAGTAATCAGATAGGTGTGGGTTGGTTCGAAGATTCATGTTGATGCAGGAAAAAAAATCATGGAGACTGTTGCATGGACTCTCCTAAACATATGAAATGTCTATGTTGGACATTGTCAGACTCAGACCTCCATGAAGGATACTTCTATGTGACATCTCTCTTTTTCTCCTTGCTTATTCAACATAAGAGTACAGCTAATGTACACAAATAATGTCAACTTTCCTATAAAATGTTATTAATTAACAAAGATAGTCTTTTAGGTCTTTCTCTATAGGTTTTAATGTTAAAATTCAACAAAATATGGCCTATTTTATTTTGTTCTGAAAGATGAAAATATTATTAATAGAAAGGAGGAACTGCTTCCCTCAAAACAAAGGCACAAAAAGGCAGAGGATAGGCCCACCATAGTACTGAAATGGTGATTACAAAGTAAAACTATCATACCGGATTAGCCTATTTCACTGCCTACTGAAGTGATCATACTTAATTCCTGTGAAACATTTAATAATAGAAGTCCATTTAATAAGACATCTTTCTATATTCCCATGGACTCCTCAGGAGGAAGAAGAATGATCCAAAAAAGTTCTTTGTTATGCTCTCTCCAAACACACCAACAGAGAGTTAAAGGAACTATATTCCAGAGGGTTCTGCTCCACTTACCAAAGGATTTCAACTGTCATGAAGAGATCAGTCTTGGAAGGTCCATGAGTCCAATGTTTTTCTATACTATAGATGTGCTTGTGAGTTCTAGTTTCTTGATCTTGCTGAGTCAGACTCCAGGATATGTAACACTGCATGGAGAAAGAAATCGGTTTTCTCTGAATTCCTTATCAGATTTAGATTTTATTATTTTTGAGTTTTTCCAAATTAATTTTCTAGTTTATTAGTTCTTAGAAATACAGTTAGTCATTTAAAGGGTCAAATTAGTTTAAAAAATTTTTGTTAGAGAGGTTTTAGAAATTTGGAAGGTTGAAGTAGGATATTAGAGTTATTTTAGGCGTTGGAGTTTTCAGTTTTGTCCTTACAGGTTACCTATCAGTTTGCCTTAGCTTTGAAGTATTCTTTTATTGATAAAGGATGAATTTTATTGCTTGTGAATGAAAAAAATAATGTATTTATGGTCGATGCTTTACTTAACCTCATCCTTCCCTATTTACTGCTTTCTATTTATCCATTGCGTCAGCCAAGTTTCCTAGTTGATTTTGAGTCTGTAAAGGGAGATCTGAGAGTTTATGTTTAATAAATAGAGTTTTTGTAATTGAAATTTAGAGTTAAATTAACAAAATGAAAAGATTACTTTGAAGTAATGTTATCTATGGGTATGTGTGTGACCTTTTTATTGTTTTCTCTTTTCTATTGCTCTTTCTATAAAGGTGCAGTACTTATTCTCTTTCTTAACTTTTTCTTCTGTTTTCAGATCTGCATCCCCTTCTCATAATCCAGATATTTAATTTCCTGTTCTTCCTATTTCATTCATTTTAGGACATTCTCCTTTTCATCCTACACCACATGGATTTAATGTCATTATATCATGGAGCCTAGAGTCCTAGCTTCCATTGCAACATACAATGCAATTGGAACATCCTTGATTTCTGCAGAATATGCATTTATTTCCATTTTCTATAGCAAAGTTCTCAAGAAACTAATGATGAAAACTGAATTTATGTTTGTTGAATTGGTCATCAGGGTGATGTCCTTGTGGCTGTTCTTTCAAATTACATGGTGGATATAGATTGGTTGTTATCTGGTGAGTTTGATTAATTAATAATTTCAGACTTTTTTTCACAGATCTCTATTTTCTCATAATGTTCGCTTCATCTTTTCATGATTTTTGCACTTTTGAGGGTTCTTTTCGATTCTTTTAGGTCTTCCCTAGAAAAAAAGTAAATTATCACACGAAAACAAAGAACTTTGTATGGGCTATTGGGTATATTGTCTCTGACCAACCAAACCAAGAGTTATTGATTGATTGTTTTCATCATTTTGTTATTCTTACAATTATTTTATTTTCCAGTCTGGACAACATTTATGAGGGAGACTTTCTAAGTGGACCTGCTGAAAGGTGCATACCTTCTAGCATGACTGAATTTAGGCACTTTGGAGAAGATGTTTGGAGGAATCATCTCCTCCCATATATCACATATGAATTCATCTAGTTATTATCATGCTACAATTATATATTTTTGTGATGGTTATATGCATTATTTTGGAGTTTATATGGTTAATTTAAGGTGCATTTGCATATTTTATTTTAGATGAATTTATTCCATATTTTTTATCTAATAATGAAGGTTTTCTTTCTTGTAGCATGTCCAGTTCTTTCAAAGATCCCTCATGTGCTTGTTATTCATGGAGAAGGTGATGGTGGAGTAGATCATATGAAGGTCTTGTATTTTTTTTAACTACATTTATTATGAGCTATTTGGTTGATGTTTTTTATTGAACATTTAACTTATTGAACTCCACTACTTCTAATTCTTTTCAGAGGAAGAAGCCTCCTAATTGGTCTCTGCATAAACCCTCACTGCCTATTTCTTTTGGGACACACCATTCAAAGGCCATGTTTCTTGTCTATCCTCGAGGGGTGCGGATTGTTATACATACAGCAAATTTGATATATGTTGACTGGAACAACAAAAGCCAAGGACTATGGATGCAAGATTTTCCTTGGAAAGATCAAAAAGATGTGAAGAAAGGATGCAGCTTTGAAACTGATTTGATAGATTATCTTAGTGTGCTAAAGGTATTAAATATGCAGTAAATGTATGGAGGCTTAGATTTCTTAGGGTGTGCCTAGATTTTTGTGATTATATGTTGTTTCTCAAGTTGTGTGTGATAATAGAAATGACTAAAAGTGACATTTTTTTGTTCTTTCTCTGTTAATACTTTTTCTTTTGAGAAAACTTCAGTAATTTTCTTTCTGATAGGTGATGATTAGTTCTGTTGTTAATTAATAATCAATAACAGGAATCAAGGAGAGAAAAAGGTTGGTTGACTATCAAGAGATCCAAACAAGAAGCAATGTCAAGCCAATAATTTGCAAGTTCTTGGCAATAAGGGTTCCAGTTCCAGTGAAGAAGGCAAGGCAAGGAAATTTGCCTTTGTAGAATCTGCATCACCTATGTGGCCACCACAGAACCAGAGCACTCTCCTCTGTTTCAATGAAATCATTCCAATTACATTTTAGGAGTATCTATAGTGTGGTAGCCAATCCATTCTAGAGTCATCCTTATCTGTGGTAGACAATCCATTCAAGCACCATCTTGAGACTGAGATTTCTGCTCAAGAGTTGCAGTGGCATTAACTTGTTGGCAGTAATAATAATGCAGGTTTCTTTTCTAGGCTTCTAGCTTGACCTGGAAGCCAGTTTATTGTGGGATATGATGGTGCAGTAGTGTTGGAGTGGGACAATATAGGAGGATTTGATTCTGCCCTATCTCATTTTTTTTTTTTTTTGGGGGGGGGGCGTCAAGGGTAACAATTGTAAGATAGATCCTATAGAGCTCCCTTGCTTGTTGCAAAGTAGCATTCCTTTCTGTGGAAAGTGATTCTCAATATATATGTCTCTAAGATGAAGCTGATTAGTAGGGAACTGTCACATGCATGCTCTATGCAAGTAGAAAATATTGTACTAATCATCTTTTCCCAGGTTATAGATTCTACTGGGTAGTTTTGCAGAAAACTTCATTATGATTGTCGGTGTTTTACAGGTGTTACATGGGGACATCCAAGAAGCCTTAATGGGCATCATACACAACTGGGACATTGGGACTCTCTTCCTAGTGGTTGCTTTCTTTGTAAAAATGATGTTCACCATTTTTTGTGATCCTCCCAAAGAAATGAGCATCCGTATTTTTAAGTGGAGTAGGCTTTGAGAATGTGGTGATTACAAATGTTGAAGATTTTTTCATTTATTGGTTCTTAAGCCACTTATTTGTAATGAACATGTCACCAAATATAAAAGAAGTAGGAATGGATTTTTTTCTAACTATGACAGTGAAGATGGAATGCAAAACTTTTTGAAGGATTGCATAGTTAACTTTGAGATGACTAGATCAAGGGAACCTAATATGCATAGTTGTTTGCCTAGGTATGATTTAGGGACATTTTCTTCCTAGTTTATAATCAGTCATAGGATATGCTGTGATATTTTCTGGCAACTTGGGTGGTCCATGGAACTTGGCCGGAAAAATTAGAGAAGCCTGTTACTTGGCATCTGTAGTAAATACCTCACACATCTGAGTGCCAATGATGGCCAAGTACCAACTTGAAGTGTCCAAAGATATAACAAAGCCATATTTTATACCATCACTGTAACTGAGCAGGCTTTTGGGTTGGCTTGTTTTCTGGCCTTTGATTTGTGCTGATGAATTTCCTTATTTCTTTTGTATGGAAACATTCAATCAACTAATGTTTCTTTTTTTTTTTTTGTAATACAAAATTATGACATGTTTTATTTGATGGGAACCATCAATCAATCTTTTCTATGTGGAAGGCCAATCATAATTTTGATCATTTGCTGCTCTTTCGGTTTATGACTACTTCAAGATATCTAAAAGGATTGAGAACAAATGATTCAAACATGTTCTTAATCATGTTATAAGTTACTATTCAGTAGCATTATGTCCTGGTCAGCTGAAGTATTCTGATGCTTCATCATGACTATAGTACTGGAATGAGATGTGAATGGATAATTCTGATATCCTAGGTATTTCTTAAACATATTTTTGTTGCTCGTTTGATCAGATTCAGTAGAAATTGTGCTAATTAGTCCCGTTTGAATATTTGCAGTGGCACGAGCTGAGTGTTAACTTACCATCCATTGGAAATGTCACTATCAACCCGTCATTTTTTAAGAAGTTTGATTATAGAAGTGCAGTGGTAGCATTCCGTTTCCTTCCTATGATTTCAGAATCATTTCTTTCACTGATAAGTAATGCCTTGGATGATAATTATGTTTAAAACTTTCCATGAGGGGAAATTCCATAGATAAGGGTTGTTGAAATTGCCATTGATTTCTTGAACTTTACTATGAGCTAACCTAAACTGTTTATGCAAAGCCTGTGATGCATAAGTTCATCCATTGATGTCTTCAAGGCTACATGCAAGTATAATATTATGCTTTCTAAATCGCGAACATAGTTTTCAAGGTGCCAAGGTGAGGCTAGGCGACAGGGGGGTGCCTTGTCGCCTAGTTGCCTAGGCGGGTGCCTAGGCGTCACCTAGGCAATGGATTTTTTTAAGTAAAATCATGTATCCTAGGGTAGTTCCCTAGGTTCCATAATCGTATTTCCTTAATAAATATCCATAATTTTCATAAGAAAAGTATAAACTTTATGTTATAGTATAGAAAATCAACATATTCCAACATATTCATGAGAAGAAAAAGAAGAAATAAAAGAAAATTAAAAAAAATATAGGGGCTGAGCCCCTATTTCTGTTATAGGAAAAGAAGAAGAAGAAGAAATCAGTATATACACACACAAAATTAGTAAAGAAAAAGAAAATGTGTTGATTGACAAACATTTTCTGTTCTTCCTTACTTATTGGTTCAGGTTTTGAAGTCTTTGAGGGTTCAATACAGAATTTAGCAATGTTTGTGTTGATTAAACCCTAACAAATAAGAAAATAATAAAAAGAAATTAGTATATAAACACACAAAATGAATATTTTAGTTTTACAATGTCTATTTTATAATTGTAACCTCAAAAAATTAAGAATATAAAGGTTTTTTATAACACGCTATAGAAAACTTCTCGGTGATTAGGTGAGGCAAGCCTCCAAGGGCACCTTGCCGCCTAGGCGTTGCCTTGACAACTATGATCATGAATACATAACAAGAGGAATTATGCAACTTCTCCTGAAGCAGTAGCAAATTTGTAGAGAAATTATGCAACTTCTCCTGAATAAATATGTCCATTGTATTTTTAGTTCTTTTATTTTCTTGAAATGTGGTCATTCTAATGATCTAATCCTGTTATTTCCATGTTTTAGTCTCGAGACTTCTTAGTGTGAATCTTTCCCTTTCCTGGTCTCATTCACTGCTATATTTCTTTTCTGTTGCTTTACTTTTCAGGTCAGGTTAATTGCATCTGTTCCTGGGTATCATATGGGTCCCAACCTGAAAAAATGGGGGCATATGAAACTTCGTACAGTTCTTCAGGAGTGTATTTTTGATAAAGAATTTAAAAACTCCCCTCTTGTTTACCAGGTATAATAATATCTCTTTCTTGATATTTATGGCATTTTCCCTCTATCATATGGATGTTGGTATACTTGTGCAGACAAGTATACTTTTTTCTTACACTTGATAATAAATAAATAAATAACTTCATTAAAAGAGAAGGATATAAAAAGGGTTTATGAGAGGACACTGAAAGATACAACATATAGCCATGAAACAGATAAAAACTCGCTTAAACATCTGCTGCTGAATACAATGCTTCCCAAAAGCCACTGCTGAAAGGAAGTTCTGTTGAGATCATGAAATCCAGGATTTACAAGGAGCCAATCCAAAACCATTGATCCAATATCAAAACAAACCCAATCTAACCCTTAAAAAATATTCTTATGTTTCTTTCCCTCTATACTCTCCAACAAACTGTAAAAGGAACTATGTTCCAGAAGATCATGCATGCAAGTATTGCACAAATCACAATACCATGTCCTAACCTTTTTTTCTGGTTTCTCTGTGCTTCTTCTCCTTACATACAATTTCACTTATTTTCAATCTTACCAGTTTAAGCAATAAGCAAAGTTAAAGTGATAGGAAGTGTATCAGTATGAAATCCAAATAGGAAAGAGTGTCAAAGCAGAAAATACACTCATTGAGTCAATGAAGGCACTGGATGCACAAGCTCCACCAATCATTCGTTATTATACTTAAGGGCCTTGGAAGGACTGGGGACATCAGTTGCTAGGATTTCCTCCATTACTCCCTTAGAAAAAGGACTTGAATGGGGTATTTGTTTTTCCTTATTTTTGATCAATAAGAACTTGTGTTGGCTTGACTGACAACATTGATGTGTGTCAGAGTATAGAAACTAGAGTAAGAAGAAGCTGGCATGCTAGAAAGAGAAATGTCAACAATAATAATTATTTGAAACACACTTATGTGGGTGGCAAGTTAGAAACCAGTCAATCACTTTTTTCTGGATAGGTTAATCAGTAAATCACTTTGGAATCTGTTACCTTAACCGAAATATATGACTAGAAAATGAAAGGCTAGCTTGGATCTACCAAAGTTCACATGGCACAATCATTCCTTTGTCTTCTATGATTCATAAACATTTGATTTCTTCATCAAAGTTAGAGGCTTGATCTAATTGGTTTGGATGGTTTGTTACTCAATGTCCTCCTATATTTGTAACCCGAATCCATTATGATACTCTAGCAGTCATTTTGAAACCTCAAGTACGAAGAATACAGAATACTGTTGGAATGTTAGTTTTATTTCTTATGTTTGTATTCTGCTGAGTTAGGGTCCGTTTGGACTAGTTAAAGCAGTTTTTTCTTTTGTTTTTTATACTATAACTTAATTAGGGGCATAAGGGTCCTTTCCCTTCTAATTATGGTTGCCCTATATTTATTAATATAAACTGGCACCGCCAGTCATGGTTGTTGACTCCAAATCCCTCTCTTCTCTCTTTTCTCCTGTCTTCCTCTTCTCTTCTTCTTCCTCTCTTCTCCTCTGTTTGGTTGTTAATATGGTATCAGAGCGGTTCTACTAGGCCTATGAGCAGATCGAACAAGTTTAAACCTGCTGTCTTCTTCAACTGAGATCAAAAGTACAGACCTACGACTGGTACAGATTTTTTTAGTGTTTTTTTTATCTTGGTCATGTACCAAGAAGAAACCATATGAATCCAGACTGCTGAATGTCTTCTGTAGGTCGTGGATGACCTGATTTTTTATCCCTTGTGGTGTAACCGTACTGGTTTATGACCCCTCTTAGCAGTCGATGTGTTTGGGTGGTCTGGAAGTTGGAGTGTGACTGCTAGGTCAGTTCAGCTCTGAGATCACCCTAAAATCTTGCCTTTTTTGGATAATCTAAGCTGGTTTGTGGTCAAATTGTGTCCAAATTGCAGTGTGTGCATGTGGGCTTCATCCTTGGTGGGCTTCTAGGACTGTTTTTTGTTGATAGGAGGGATCACATAAGGTGTGTGTAAGGTCTGAAAGGTGTTTGAATCATGTCCTCTGAGAATTCTGCAACTTCAAGAATTTTAGGAGTACAAAATGGAATGAGTGGGGGGATGGATATGAGTTTCCCCATGGCTGTAATCCCCTTTGATGGACTGAACTATCTTGAATGGTCTAGGGGAATTAAACTTTATATTACTGCTAGAGGAAAAATTGGGTATATTAAGAAAATGACATGGCTCTTGGTTTCCATGACAGATGGGACCATGAAGACTTGTGGTTTCCATGCTGCCACAAGTAAGGAAGACTTTTATGTGGGCTGAAACAACTTGTGAAATATGGGAATGAGAAAAATCTACCTATTCAAAACAAAGACACTATGCAAAGATATATCAATTACAAGATGAATCCTCCGCTTGCAAGCAGGGGGGGAGGAGTCTCTTGGTGCACTATTAAGATCTGACATCAATTTGGAAGGAACTGGATCATTATCAAAATGTGAATTGGAAGTGTGATGAGGATGCAAAGGCCTACAAATCACTTGTTTCCCAGCAACGGGTGTTTGCTTTTCTTTTGAGGTTGAATCCTACATATGAATCCATTTGGGTACAAATCTTAGGAAGTAAGAATCTACCTTCAGTTCAAGAAGTTTATGCCCTAGTTCAGTCTAAATAGAGTAGAATAATTGTGATGAATTGTACAGAAGGGGAACCGATTGCACTAACTGTCCGAGGGGGTACAAGTTCAAATGTTGGAGGTTCTTTTAAAAAGGGTGATTCACAGAAGAGAGTGGATGACAAAGACAAACTTTGGTGCACTCACTATCAAAAGTCCAGGCACACTAGAGACATATGTTGGGATCTTCATGGCAAGCCTAAATGGGCTCAGGAATTAAGTAAGAAGTCTGATCCGAGTAAGAAGCCAATCCAGCAGAGTCAGAAGAAATATAACTCAGCAAATGTGGCATCTCAAGAGACTAGTCCCATGGTACCCCAGGAGCGATACTCTGGTTTTGACCCCAAGGAAGAGACCATCAACTCCTTTCATGACCACTTGGAATTATATGGTAGGACACTTCGCCAGATGGATTCTGACCCTACTCCTTCTACCTCCTTTGCATCTACATCAGGTAACACTGCCACTGCTTTCCATGTGTCATCTCATACATCTGATTCACCTTGGATAATTGACTTTGGAGCCTTAAACCACATGATTGGTAAGTCAAATTTATTTCAGGCATATAACCTCCTCTCTGGGAGAGATAAGGTGAGATTGGCTGATGGGTCTTTTTCTATCATAGCCAGTCAAGGAACCATCTCCCTTCCTCTTGGTCTTACCCTCTCTAATGTGTTGCATGTTCCTAAATTACCTATCAATTTACTTTCCATTAGCAGTATTACTCATTCCTTGAATTGTTCAATGACTTTCTTTCCTTTGTGTGCATTTCAGGATTTGATCTCGGGGGAGACAATTGGTAGAGGAAGCATGGTGGATGGCCTCTATGTGTTGGAGAATAATGCCAGTCTTGTGGCTACAGAGTCCTTAAGTTCTTCTAGTGAGAGTCGTGCCTACTTGTGGCATAATCGTCTTGGTCACCTTTCGTTTGAGTCTTTAAAACTTATGTTTCTTGAGTTGTTTAAGTCTTTTTCAGCTAGTAAACTGCAGTGTCAAACATGTCAATTGAGCAAACATTGTAGAAATTCCTTTCCTTTAAGAAGTAAAAGATGTGAATTTCCTTTTCATATTGTCTATTCTGATGTTTGGGGCCATATTTCTCTACCTACTGAGACTGGATATAAATATTTCATTACTTTGATCGATGACTACTCTAGATATACTTGGGTTTATCCTATGCGATGTAGAGATGAAGTGCCAAAGATTGCGAAAGACTTTCAATGAATGGTTTTCACTCAATTTCAAACTAAAATTCACATTTTCCAGTCGGATAATGCAAAAGAGTACTTCCATAGTGATCTCACGGAGTTCTTTGCTTCGTGTGGATCCCTTCATCAAAGCTCTTGTGCCAGGACACCTCAACAAAACGGTGTTGCTGAAAGGAAAATTCGTCATCTACTTGAAGTAGCTTGTGGTTTATTACATCATATGAATGTTCCAAAACGTTTTTGGATGGATGTTGTTATGTGTGTTGCATATATCATCAAATGTATGCCGTCTCGGTTACTACAGTATAAGGCCCCACATCAACTTTTGTTTCCTACAGCTTCGCTGTCCCCATTCCAATGCGTGTCTTTGGGTGTGGTTGCTTTGTTTATGACTTGTCTCCTACTCGTGGTAAACTCGATCCCCGTGCCACTCCTTATGTTTTTCTTGGTTGTCCATTATCTCAAAAGGGTTACCGTTGCTATGATCTTGCTTCATACAAGTACTATGTTTCCATGGATGTATCATTCTTTGAGAGTCAACCTTTCTTCTCGGTTTCTCTTCAGGGGGAGAGTAGGGTTGAGGAGAAACACACTCAGGTTCAACTACCTCCTCTCCCTGACTTTTCTTCATTTCGTGTCTTTCTTCGCCGCCATAAGAGCCAACAAAGTTCAAGAGCCGTGGAACCTGAAACTATGCAACCAATATCATCGGACTCTCTAGAGGTAATCCTCCTCATCAGCCAGGTACACTTGTTTCCATTGATATGCCTGAACCTCTTAACATTGATCCTCCTGTTGTTAATGATCTTGATGTTCCTGTTGAGCAAGAGCAAGTGAAGAGAGGAGAGAAGAGAGAAGAGAGGTGAGTCGAGTGACTGAAAGCCCTCCAGAACATAGGGGGCGAAATAATGATTTTATTTATTTATACTAGTACAGTCGAACAATATAAACAGAGGAGAAATTACAACAGTACCCTTATGGTACTA